TTTTTTACTTAGGTCAATTCTTGCATTTTCTGAGATCTTTTCTTATACTTGGCTCTGTATAAATCTTGGCAAGCTACTTTCTCTACGGGAAGCGCCGCCGAAATTTCTACAGATCCAAGGAGATAGTTAAATTTTGGCTTATCGAAAGTTCAACTTTGTCCTTTCTCTTATCTGACTTAGTTAAAATCTGGGAAGTCTCATTTTCTAAAGGGAGTGCTGCCCAAATTTTTGCTAATTCAGGGAGTTGGACAAAATTGAACTTTGGGAAGCCAATGTTATTCTCAAATTCTGGATCTGACTTAATTAAAAATCAGAGAAGTCTCCTTTTCTAAAGGGAGTGCTGCCCAAATTTTTGCTAATTCAGGGAGTTAGACAGAATTGAACTTTGGGAAGCCAAAGTTATTCTCAAATTTTGGATCTGACTTAGTTAAAATCTGGGAAGTCTCATTTTCTAAAGGGAGTGCTGCCCAAATTTCTACTAATTCAGAGAGTTAGACAGAATTCAACTTTCCAGAGTTAAAGATTATTTTCTGCTCTCATATCTCGACTTATATAAATTATGAAAAGACACTTTTCCTACGGGAAGCGCTGCCAAAATTTTCTTAGTTTAGAGGAGATAGATTATATTTTGATAGGTGATTCAGGCGATCCACCCAGAATAGGGGAGATTTTGCAGTTGGTCTACCTTCAGTTTAAGCACTGACTTAAAGGTAGACTTAGGTCTAGCTTATAAGAAAATTTTGAGTGAGGATGTGTCATGGAGTTGTATTCTCTATACACTTGTGATCTTAGCTTGGGGGTTGACCTGGCGTGCGCTGCAGGTCTTCTTGATCATTTGATTCAAGTTCAGGACTAGACTCAGCTTGATCCCTTGAGGATCACCTTCTGTTATCACTAATAACAGGTCGGTTGTCGATTCGTCGGTCTACGACTCAATTTCAACTCTCCCTCTACACTCAACTTAAAAGGCTTTAGCCCTGGTGATTTCATTGTTTTATTAAGGTTTCACCCGGACTTTTATTGAATGGCCATTTAACAAAGGTGCTGAGTATTTAATTAAGGTTGGTTGGACAGGAGGTTTGGGGCTTGCACGGCTAAAGCAAGGGGTATGAGTGTCGAAGGTGGTTGGGGTTGACTTCGTGTAGTGTGTGGGTTGTTGATTTGGTTCGTTGATGTGATGGCAGGTATGTGTTGTGAAGCAGATTCTGGATTTGGTTGCCTACGATCACACATATACGTATTATTGTGAGAAACCCCAGTAAGACCGTGAAAAGTGATCGTCACATACTAAACYCTTATATATGTATACATGRGTATACTTGGGATGAATGTTTGCATAGATTGAAGAGCCYCACATTAGAGCCCTACTCAGAAGCTGAGACTGAGGGGCTTAGGGGAGGTCTCTCCTTTTATTCTTGTCTCTTGCTTTTTGATGATTTTCTTAGTCGGACATTTGGTCGTGGGCCGGGATTCGAGGTCCTTGTCCAGGACATCCTAAGCCCTAGGCTCTGCAGGGGAGGGGTTTTCCCTCGCAAAGAACATATTTGATTTGCCTACCGTGACACTCAGGTCGAGAGCCTGAGGTGCCTCGGCGGCTGCACGACTATTCCTTCAGCCATGCAATGTCGTGAAAGGTTAGGCCCTCACGACACTTCAAGTCTGACACTTGAGTGTCATAAGCGGTACTCGAATCCACGAGGGACCGCTTGATTATGGGCACTACATAGTACGCCATCGATGCGACTGATTGTGTACGCCTGCATTGCAAGTCGATATGAGTATGCCCTGCGTCCGCG